ACCTGCTTAAATGACAGCAAAGATCCGCATTGTTAAAAACGCATTTCACAACTCCAGAAGGAAAATTTATATATTGTGCTTATGTTTACTTGTCACATTAAACAGTGACTTTTATGAGTCTAATATAGGTTTTATTGCTTGTTTGTTTAATCCCTTTTGATCCAACAAGCCCAACCGCTACTTTCTCACAGTTTTAATGCACAAACTTTTGCCAAAACTCTAAAAATTATTTCACGACTGAGTGAATTATCATATAAGCCTTGGTTTTATATCAATGGTTTTCATCTGCTTTACTATGTCATTTATTTCCATTTAGGTGATCTTGAGTGTCATGAAATGCACAATAAAATAAGATGTATAATAATAATAATAATAATAATAATAATAATAATAATAATACAGACACTTCTCACTTAATGACCGAATTCCGTTTCTAGGCCGTTAAGCGAATTGGTTGATAAGCGAGGAGCTGCCCAGTACTGACTGTGCTGGTAGTGGGTTTGTGTCGACCATCTTTAGATTGTTTTAATGTCACATTTGATAAAATAAGATAAGATAAGACTTTATTGATCCCACACTGAGGAAATTTACTTGCTGCAAGAGGCAGTGAATAAAAAGCAACAGAAAAAGAAACAGACCAAAACCCCCACCATTCATAACATTTTTATTATATTTATAAATGTTTATACTGTAGTGTACTGTATACTGTATTAAACAGAATAGAGGAAATCAGCTCTTATACACAATACTTAGATTTGCATACTGTAAATACAGGCAATCAGAGATTGGGAACGCTAGTGTAGTGACTACTGAGCGACTGCGGGAACGAGACTGAGACTGAGACTGAGAAAGGCTGATGCGAGATGCCTGACGCTGAGACACCGTGCTGCCGTTTCCACCACTAAAGTTATCGTACAGCGTACAGTACCGACTGGCTGAAGAGCTGGTCGCAAGTCCGGGTCGTTAAACAGGTAGGTCGTTAAGTGAGGAGTGTCTGTAATAATAATAATAATAATAATAATAATAATAATAATAATAATAATAATAATTTTGTGAATAATAATTAACAGACCCGTTAATACAGACCCTTAGCTCTGAGGCCATGGTGATGGCTGAAGGTTTCTATAAAACAGAGCTTAAGCTGCTGTAGGCTGGAGGCCCTTCCTTGAGCTTGGATCCAGCATGTAGCTCATACTGTCCTTGTAATCGGGTCCCTAGGCTGAGGGTGTCCACCCCAGAGCCTGGGAACTCTGTGCGTCCCCATTAAAGATTAATCCCATGGCCCTTTATATCAATACACATCTGTTGATCATTTACGAGGTCAAGCCCTAAATATCTAACCTGCAGAAGTGCCTGAGGCTGCTGGGCTGCTGCACGGTGGAATACCTTTGTTTGCAGTTCATTCGTCCCTAACCAACATAGGCTGAGAATTCTCCGGGAAGAACAGAACAACATGGAGGTCTCTGCAATGCCCCTTATTGGTCAGTGCGATCAACATGTGACCACACTCAGGCATTCTAATGGAACACAGAGTACGGCCAGAAAGATCGGGCCAGCATAACTTGGCAGCATTTGTTATTTTAATGTACCCCTTTGCTCACGACCATTATTGGTTTGGAAGCCAAGGCACGGCTAGAGGGTGCCTGAAAGAAGTAGTACGGACAACACTATGAGCGGTTTAGAGAATGTCAGCAGTGGTGTATGATAATTCCCCTGTCTTAACTAGTCTGTTTAGTCCTAAGTGAGTACCAATTGTGTTCAGGCTATTTCCTGGGGACTGGAGGCCAAAGGAGGGTCAAATGGAATTTTAACAAATGACTTATGGCATCATTACTGGGGAATTATCGAAGAGGAATGCTGACCTCTATCAGCAAGTGCAGGGTTAAAAGCAGAAAATGGATAAGCAGGTTATCGCTGCCCAGAGACTTATCAGACTGGAAAGAGAAATCCTTAAGGTCTTCTCTGGGTCTTATCTCTAGCAGAAAACCCATCATGAGGGAAACTCAAGGCACTGTGTATGGGTTTTTGTTTCATTAAGGTAAATATTGTTACTTATAGACAACCATTGCCAGCAAGCTACCAAAATTACCCCCAGTCGTCTGCAATTACACACGTGCCACATAAGAGTACGTGGGCTAATCTTCACGTGCACCCTGCCAAAGTTATTTATACTGGCTGCCTAAGTGTCACAGAGGAAAAAAATCTGAAAATGACACGTCATCCTCTCCAGTGAGGCCTGAGACGTCACCTTGAACGGGGTCTTCAGACAATCTGACAGAGTCAGATCAGACAGATTTTTCAATTTTACCGCTGTTTTGCTGACTAAGAATGTGATTCCATGTTTCAAAAGAGCACAAACGCTGTGGAGAAGCGTAGAAATAATTGGCATAATTAGCATAATTTATGTTAGTTACACAACTCATTGTTCTCACGCTTTTCTTGCCAGATGGGTGTTTGCTTAGGCAATTTAGGCTAAGGCCCTTTGCTCAGTGCTGCAACAGCAGAACTTGTCCAGACAGGGCAGTGTCTTGAGCAATCAGTGGGCAGTATTGACTGCATTCTCCCCTCGGGGTGAAAAGAACTGGCAGGTTTTGATTAGTGCATTTGCAACAACAACAAAAAATGTTCCGGGCTAATTGCATTAGGTATTCCGCATACATGTTCCATTAATCGTTCAGAAGCTCAAGTCAATATTTGTGAAGTGGGTGGCTTCTCCTTGCTCCTTGCATAACATTTATAAACCAGTACTTGACTGATGACTCTGTAGCTTGAGTCCTACTGCTCCTTCACCCCCCCCCCCCTTTCCCTGCTGACTTCTGCACAGGGTGTAATGGCTTCAGTGGGGCTCATAGTCAGCATGCTCTCTGCTTATCTTTTTAAGGCTGGTCCCCAAGAAGACTGGGCTGGGATGCTGCTCACTGGGACCTGTTTGATCAGCGTCGTCAGAAACCCAGCGCTCTCCGGGAGCTGCAACTGACATCTATGGTTCCCTTCAGCACTCCCGTTTTCCGCTGACTTGGAATGACCAAGAGACGCCCGTAATCTCAATCGACTCATCTTAAAAAGTTGCAGTTAACGTGACTTTTACTTATGGTCAATTCGTGCGAGCATGCTCCTCTTCTGTCACCTCAACTGAAAAACCATCCTGAGTTATCAATGGGCTGAAAATCACAGGAAACATCATTGATCCCAGAACAACATCACAACGTCACGATTCCAGGTAATTTTAACAACCTCTAAGACAAAATGACTCTACTGCCCCACCTCCATGGATTGGAAAAAATACAACTGCAATACGTTAGTTTTCAAGTAGAGCATGAATGAAAGTAGCCTGAAACCATGAATGAGGCAAGAAGATTTGAAAAGCTATCATGACTGAGGAGCTTGCTGTTTTGTGACTCAAGATTCAAGATTCAAGAGGTTAATTTGTCACGTACACATACAACATGTAGTGGAATGTAACCCTGGTCACTCTGAGCAGCTGTGCATGATAAGAGAGTAACAAAATATAGAAAAAAATACAAAAATAATAAGATAAAAAATATATGAAATGTTCAGCTGTACATAATCTATACACAAGTGATAGGTAAGAGGTATTTTGCTGTGCAATTTAAGTGCAATGTGCAAGAGGCCTGAGGTATGTGCCAATGATTTGGACAGCATGAAGCAGCACCTAGAGGCATTGAGTATTGTCCTGATTTAGGATCCTAAAATAAGTGGGAGTGGGGGGTATTTCACCAGGTGTTGATGTCATTTGTATACAGCTCTGTACAAAATGAAGACATCACTCTGTGAGCTGGAACGCTTCCAAGCTCCAAGTTTCTAAGACAGCAGTACACAAGAACAGAGTGAAGCAGGAGAAACTGGCAATGACCAATAACCAGGCAGGTAAAAAATACACTCAATGGCTTCATTAGACATTATTACAATTTAAAGATCATGCCGTGATGGTCATATCAATATCAGTTCAGATACATGACCTCGTGGCTATAGGTGGAAATTAGCAGGAGATTGTTTTAAACTGGATTTGGGGAAGCACTTCTTTACACAGCACTGCGTTGGAGTATGGAATAGTCTTCCTGTTAGTGCAGTGCAAGCTATAACCTTGGGTTCCTTTAAATTAGAGCTAGATAAGATTTTAACAACTTTAAGCTATTAGTTGAATTCTCCCCAAGCGAGCTTGATGAGCCGAATGACCGCCTCTCATTTGTAAATTTCTTCTCTTCTTAGGTAGAGGGCAGAAGCAACTTTGTAACACCAGAGATGACCGTTAACTTATCCGCAGTGCCTCATAAATCGGAAGGTGACCTCAAGTGACCTTCAAAAAGAATGGGAAACATTAAATGGTGTGAAGTGCACTGCTAGAAGAGTTGGGACTCCTAGAAACTCTTAAAGACCCACAAAGCAAGGAGGAAGCCCTTCATCATTGAGAAGCAGAGAAGAGCCAAGCTGGAATTTGCAAAATATATATATATTTTACACAGGTGCATACTCATGAACTGTTTAGTGCAACTAAACACATTGCTGTGGTCTCTACATTTTTTCCAGAGCTGTATTCGTTTCTCTTCCACCATTTAGGGTCCTTTATCAATGTTGATACGCTAAGAACCATTATATTACTATATGGAAATAATAATAATGTGGCTTAAATGTGTAACATTTGCTTTAGGGGTAGCTGGTATGTCGGCCCCTTCATGGCATACATGATCAAAGGCAGCAGGGCAACTTGGGTAGAATCCTAAAAATAACTCCCTAAGTGTGCTAACATGCTATTACAGGTGTGGTGTGTAGGGACAGCTGGGAGGGGGGGGGGGGTAATGTGAGAAACAAAATGGCTGCCACCTTCATGCATACACTAGCCCTTCTCGCACTGACCCCACCAACACACCCGAGTATCTTTGGAGCTTTTTTTAGCAGAGTCTGGAGGAAGGGGGACAGCTGCCAGGGGGCCAGCCACTTCCACCCCCCCCCCCCCCCCCCCACAACCCTCCTCCAGTGCTTTGTGGCATTTCATCCAACGTCCCTCTGCCCTGTGCACCTCGTTACTGTCTCTCCTCCTGGGCTCAGCCCCCAAAGATACCTCATCCTCACCATCTTCCTCACAAATGGCCGACAGCAAGGAGACCAAGACCGCGGGCCGGCCGGCCGCCCGAAAGCAGGCCCAGAGGGAGGAGGCTACGGGGCAAGCGGTGGGGGCCCCGGCAAAGGGGACAGACCCGCAGGGAAATGGAGAGACCCCCCAGCTGCCCACGGCCGGTGAGGAGGGGGCAGAACTGGAGGGCGTCCCAGAGCTACCGCCCTTCGAGATTATCAGGGGGTGAGTGTGTCGCTACCATCTTCACAAGGGATCCACGTGTGGCCCCAAAGCTCCGGCAACGGACGAGATGCGGAACCCGCGAGTGTAGAGCTGCCTTCCAGGCATGTCTGTAATTTCAGAACGATGATGTGATGGTGACTCTGGCAAAAACATTTGCTGATATTAACAATATCCTGCAAGTGTCATGATTTAAAACGTTAAGAAATATCTAAAACGGATACTTGTCGCTGTCAGACTCTGCCAATCCAAAAAACTAGGCTTAAGCTTTCTTTGAAGAGGAGGATGAAGGATGTGGTACTTAATTCTTAGCCAGTGTAAATAAAACATGGTATGGCAATCGGGGAACACCATGGTATTTCAATGACATTTGATAAAATCAAACCACATGTTATTGTTAACAAAAAAAAAATTACCATGGAAACATACAGTATGTTCTGCTGGGTCTGGATAAAGATTTTTCCACATGAAGAATTAGCTGTATTTCATTGCTGTATAGCTTGTATTACAGCGTAGATTTATTTGGGGTTTTATGCCATAGCATAAATATTTTAATTTCTTTCATTTTAATGTGATTTATATATCTCAGGCATTGTGAAGCTTGCTTTATGTGAGAAAAATGAATTAACTTTTGCATGCATGGTGACACCTGCTGGTCGACACTGATATTGCATGAAATCTAAGTATAGCTGCCATTGCTAAGTCAGGAGGAAGACGGCTATTGCGCTGACCCAGGGAACCACGTAAAGGGTGATTTTCAGATTAGTAGTCCGGGGCACTTGCTGCATTCACAGTTCTCTCTGGCCACTTCACTGTCTCCATATTCAAATTGCCATTTCCTCAGAGCAGAGGCGATATATTTTATTTTTCACACCACGCACTCCATGAACCACTGAAAATGTCTTTGGGGTCGCAACCCGCCAGCTGAAAAACATTGCCTTAGAATTCCCTGTGATGGACTCTGCAGGGTCCTAGAGCCCTGTGTGTCCTGAGATAAACTCCAGGGTCATTGCAGTCCGCACTCCATAAATGGCTTTGTAAGGATGGTGAACACATTCTTTCACTAGTCCAGGCTTGGAGGCTGGTTGATCTCATAGCAAACCACCCATTCTGCTCCCTGAGGATGACCAGGCCTTTCAGGACAGGAAATCAATGGTTTCTGGGCACTGCAGCCCAATAAAAGCCAAACGACCAGCCTCTGATACCATGCTAATTATAGCTGTCTGACAAGCCAGACATACTGGGCTGTTGGCCACATTTGGTGTGGAAGTACCACACCAGCTCCTCCCCTGGAAAAGGCATCATCTCCTCTTTCCTTCAAAGTCTGCAGAGCCTGAACAACCCATAACAACACAATTTGAGAATTTATCCATTGCAATTATTACTTTTGAATTATGCGCCTACAGTATGTAGTTTGATATTTTACTGTTGTAACTGCTGGAGTAAAGTGTTTTTTTTAAGTAAATGTCAGCAGGGGCTTCTCATGGCTCGCAATCTGTGTCGCTAACTCATCAACTACCTGCTGCTCAATATCACTGATGTGGTCATGGAGCCGTATTAATGTTACCTAACTTCTTCTGAATTAAACATTACGACTTATCACCAGTATTTCAAACCATCTCTCTACATTGCGATTGAATATTTAATTCTTGGATGAGAGGGAATTCACTGATGATTGCCACCAGAAAATTACAATTCTTGCCTATTTTAATAAGTCCCGTTTTTAATAAACGCTGCCACATCTTTTCTTGCCGCTTCTCCAGGGACCGGATGGACCCCTTCTTCTTCAAGTTTCAGTTTAAGAATGTGGAATATTCCTCAGGCCGCAACAAGACCTTCCTGTGTTTCCTTGTGGACTCACAAAGCAGCAATGCCGTGCTTCAGCGAGGCTACCTGGAGGACGAGCACGTGGGCAGCCACGCCGAAGAGGCCTTCTTCCAACAGGTGCTCCCGCAGTGCGACACCAATCTGAATTACATGGTCACCTGGTATGTGTCGTCCAGCCCCTGCACTTCCTGTGCCGCAAAACTGGTAGAGATCCTACAGGCCCGCAAGACACTGCGTCTCGCCATCTACATAGCCCGCCTGTTCATGTGGGAGGAGCCTGAGATCCGGGCGGGGCTCAAGGCGCTAGCGGCTGCGGGCTGTAAGCTGCGCATGATGAAGCCCTTGGACTTTACATACACCTGGGATACCTTCGTGGAGAATGAGGAGCAGAGCTTTGATCCTTGGGAGGACTGCAAAGACAACTACGAATACTACCAAGAAAAGCTGGCTGAGATTCTAGAGTAACAGGAAGTTCTGCCCCCTATTTGTAGTCCTCCAGTAGAGGACAACTCAATACTATTATGAAGGCAAAACATGTCGCCTTTCACACGGACAAATTCTGGAGTTTTATCAATTCATTTAATAAATTATTTGCTCATCCTACACTTGGCTGTCTCTAATCTAATATAGTTTAGTAAAACGAAAGTTTTGAAGAAGAGTGTTTGATCTGAAATACTCTGTCAAGTCACAGTTCGCGATCTGACAGACAACATTTATTTTTTCTTGGGACTTGAATTGTTAAATAAGAGTAATTCCAGGGTGCTGAGAATGAAATTCCTTCGAAAGCAGTGTCGTTTACAATGCTGTCTGAAGAACTGTGGGGCAGTTGCAACAGTTTTCAGTTCAATGTAAGATAACAGATGCGTATGACGTGTAAAGATATATCATGTCATGCAAACACTGACACAGAGTTTTTTCCAGTTAGTTGTTAGGTTTGTTATTGTATCATGTACTGAAAATGTCTTTCTGACCTATGTAACTTCTTCCAAATGCCACTGATAGGTGGTTAATTATTTCTGGATGTGTATACGCAGGGTGTGGAGTGTTGTTTTTCACCACTATAAAAGCCACTGATGTGTCCTTGAGTGTTGATGTCTGAATAATGTCATGGAAATTGTCTTTGAGGAATAAAAGACCTGACCAGAAATGAAGGACCTGAACAAAAAAAAGTCTGTATTTTTCAACCACTGAAAATGAACATCCAGTGGCTGCATTGATACAATTTCATAATCATGCTGTAATGGTTGTCATTGTTATTACTGATCAATCAGCTTAACTGCATGTTTTTTGATGGCAGTATTAAACCTGAGTATTTAGAAGAACTTGGAGCACTAGCTGATCGTTTAATTAATTATGACTATTGACGAGTTCTTAAGTCACAATAAAAGAAAGCAAAGAAAAATAGGTTTGGGAAGATGTACAGTATCTGCACCGTTTATCTGTTCAGTGTTTGTACTGAATAATACAGTGTACAGTACAGTGTACAGTACAGTGAAATGAAGGTAATTAACTTTTTCACAATCCCAGAAATGCACACAATACCTTGTACTTGTTTCCAAGCAGCACGTGTTTGTAGCTGTAAGCAGCATGTGTTTGTAGCATGTGTTTGTAGTATTCGACCGTGTCCCTCGGGGAGTCCTGTAGGGGGTGCTCTGGGAGTATGGAGTGCCGGGCTTCCTTATAAGGGCTGATCGGTCCCTGTATGACCGGTGTCAGAGCTTTGTCTGCATGGTCGGCAATAAGTCTGACTCATTTCCGGTGAGGGTTGGACTCCATCGGGGCTGCCCTTTGTCACCGATTTTGTTCATAGCTTTTATGGACAGATTTTCTAGGCACAGTCAGGGCGTTGAGGGTGTCCGGTTTGGTGATCTCAGGATTAGGTCTCTGCTTTTTAAAAAACATAAAAGGAAACCCCACGCAATCAAATAATCAATTAAAGTATTTATTTAAAGAAAAAATCATAAGTGGGTACAAAGTCAAATTTATATAAATGCAAATGTGATTAAAGAAGAATGGCAACAGGATAAAATTAAATTTTAGATGCTGCTCACTGGTGAGTTGTGCTATTTTTAGAGCAGGTCCACGGGCGACTCATGTGGTCCTTGGGGGCATCCTGGTGCCCGTGGGCACCATGTTGGTGACCCCTGGTCTAAACTAACTCTACTTAGGCATGTACTTGGGTTCAAATAAAGTGATACAGTTTAAACGCATAATAAACAGCACAGCCTGGCAAGCAAACTGCTAAATTATAAGCTATAAGCTCCCAGAGTTACTGGCAGTTTATAGAGATACAGTAGTGTGAGGTACAGGGCAGGGGGGCGGGGCCTAAATGAGCCACTCTCTACATTAGTTTATTAGTAATTATATATATTTATGATCACAATCTTAACAATGCAGTATTTTAATTTGCTGACATGTGTTACCACTTTAAAGCAATGCAAAATTAACTAAAAACTGTGATTAAAAAGTTATTTTTATTTAATATGGGTACTGTATATAGCGTGGTTAAATATTTTTTGATTGTTTTTTTAAAACATAGCATGTAAATGAAACTTGAAAATGCATTTAAAGATCAAGTTATTCACAAATTTCTTTTTACACATGTTGTACCTCTATCAGAGTCTAACCAGTAAGTCAACATTTATTTTTTTAGTTTGGGCAGCAGTACGGTAAGTGAAATAAGTCAAAATACAAAAACATTCAGAATTCAAGGCATCATGCTGGAGTATCTCATTCACTTGAGAAATTAATGTCGGGTTAGAGTTATTAATGAAACTTAATATTAAAGCTGATGAGAAACATGATTTTTAGTGAAAAACTGACATTTTATTAAAGCACTCAATGTCGATCATTTACTAAATTTGGACATTAAAGGTTAATATTAACATTGAAGGAGGTAGAGCTGTGCTCAGGTAAGGAGCGATTTGGACATGATGAGGAAAAGCTGGGCTCTGCCTGGCTCTGTCTATATTTAAACCCTGTTTTACATTATGTGACATCAGCTTGTTCATATGAATGCTCAAGACTGACTTAGATTACTTTAGTCCATCTGGCAGAGGGACACTGATGATCCTGTATTGGAAATCCAAAACCCTGGATATAGGGGCTTAGTGAATGTAGAGGAAAACCTGTACAGGAGGGTCAATTCATTAGAGGAAACTTTGTAAAAGGATAAAGTGCCAGCCGCCCAGTCTAAATACACTCCGACTTTGGGTGAGGGGGTTAGGGAAATGCAAGTGTTTGCCTTATTGTGGCTGGTAAGAAAATCCTTCCCTGCATGGCAACGTAAAGCCCATGAAAGGTGATTTCCTCCAAACACACAGTCATAACCCATTCCTTCCCTACTGATTCCTTTATACGCCACTCCAATCCCAGCTCCAAATTTCCCCCCCCACTCAGCCTCCCAGTAGCAGCGACCAGAAAGACCCTCTTTGCACAAAACTTGGAACCAGAAGTTAAATCTGTCAGGGTGCTCTGAACATGGCTGCTCCTGTAATGTATATGTGACCGTCCTGTTCTTCTCAGACAGAGATAGCTGTCTGTGTGCCGTGTCGGGGTCCAGTGTGACCTGGCAAGCATCTGCAGTGAAAAAGAAGAATGAAAAATGCCATAATTACAAACACACTGCTGCCCTTTAAACAGACAAAAAATGTTACCCAAAACATACCCATCCATCTATTTTTCATTCCTGCTTGTCCTATGCTGGAGGGAAAGCCACAGAACCAAGAGGAAAGATGGACGGATGGCTCATTCTTGTTCCATCGCTAAATCGCCTGTAAAATAACTATTCACACTGGGTTCTTGATCAGGTTATTATTATATACAATGGGACTCTTTCATTGGTGGGTTATTTAACGGGCATCCACAGGATAGACGGGAAGCCACTCAGTAGCTAAAGCCCCTGCATAGTATCATGTGATCTGTAAAAAGTGCTCTGTCAAACTTGTACATATGTCTTCTACTGGATATGTGTTTCTCTGACTCCTTTTATTGACTTCTGTGCTTGATATAGTTGAGTTATGTGGTCAGTCCCACGGCTGAACTGACTAACGCTGACATAGATCCAGTCTGCAGCTGCCCTACAGTCCCTCAACCAAGACCAAACTGGTTTCAAATCGATCAAAGTGAATCCTGGGCAACATCAGTCTAGAATGAATGAGTTAGTGGTTGGTTGGCGCCCTCTCCTGGGTTGTTCCCTGCCTTGCACCCACAACCTCCAGAATAGGCTCTGGACCCACAGAACCCTGAATAGGACAAGCAGTTACAGAAAATGGATGGAAAAATAATCCCATTAAAACACTAAACACATATTATTTAACCTTCGGTTTATAATGATTTTCTGTTTCTGCACATATATAAACACACAATTTGTACCGTAACACTTTAATAACAAAATAAAACAAAACGAAAACAAGAAGTTACTGAAAATGGATGGATGGATGGATTAAGAGTTTAATTAACAGTGAGAAACATCTAGAAGTAATCAGAATAATGCTAAATTAAGGTGATTATATCCATGTCTCCTAAAAGGAAAACCTTAGATGTTTTGAAGTCAGAAATAATTCAGTTTAAATTAAAGCTTAATTTTTCAGAAATGTTGGGGGTGACCTACACGCATGTAATACCTTCAGTGGCCCAACTGGATTCTGTTATTGGGCCAGTGGATGGTTTAATTTACATTGCCGCAGTAGTTTCAGTTAAATAATGATTATTTTAAAAAGTATGGATAATAAAGGAATGAGGATGACTCCTGAATAGAGTGACGAAGAAAGGGGGAAGGATTCTGAAGTAAAGAGATTCTGAAACCGACTTCATCAGGCTTACATTTTCTTGGTCCTGATCTGATCCTGGATTCTCCACCATAATCCATGCTATTGAAGAAGCAGGAGAAACACAAATTGAGCTTCACTGCTGTCATGCTATCACAGTCTGCTTTTCTGTTCATCTCACAAAAGTTTACACATCTTATCCAGTTATATAACAAAAGAGTAATTAGAAAGTACATACTGTAGTTTCTCCAATTTCCACCTGGGGTCCTCCAGGCCAGCAGAGAGCAGTCTCACTCCTGACTCTCCTGGGTAATTGTAGGTCAGATCCAGCTCTCTCAGATGTGAGGGGTTTGCATGCAGAGCTGAAGCCAGACACTCAAAACCTGCCTCTGTGACTTGACAGCCTGACAACCTGCACACAGACAGGCAAACAAACCAAAAATATTCCATTCACACTTAATTTTAACATCTGCAACATAAATGTATTCATATTAATATGTGAATCCCTCAGTACTACTGACCTCAGTATCTCCTCTTTACAGTTATAGTTCCCTTACAATACTGACCTCAGTATCTCCAGTTTACAGTGTGAATCCCTCAGTCCAGCAGAGAGCAGTTTCACTCCTGAATCCTGCAGGTCATTGTCACTCAGGTCCAGCTCTCTCAGGTGTGAGGATTCTGAACTGAGAACTGAGGCCAAATCTTTGCAGAGTTCCTCTTTAAGATTACACCAGATCAATCTAATATGGGTATAAAATGAATTTGAAATGCCTTTTCCCCATGTGAGTATACCTGCTGCAGTATTTATATACCAAAACCATTATTAATTGTGAAGTTTTGTTGATAGAAGATATTCACTGCTAAATAAAGTTGGGTGATGGTAAGCCTTAGTCCTATCTTGGCACATGGTACCAGACAGGGGGCATTCTACAGTGGATGCCAATCCACCACAGGGCTTGCAAAGATACAGAGCATTTTTTGATAGTTTGGAAGCAACAAAAACTGCATGTAGGATTGACTAAGCAAACACATTCTACATACCGGAGTTTCTCCAGTTTGATGCAAGAAAGCTGCAGCAAACCAGAGAGCCTCTTCACTCCTGACTCTCCTGGGTGATTGTAGCTCAGGTCCAGCTCTCTCAGGTGTGAGGGGTTCGAACGCAAAGCTGAAGCCAGAGAAGCACAACCTGCCTTTGTGACTTGACAGCCCGACAGCCTGCAGAGCCAATCAGATGTCATTCATAAACTCCCATTGTATGTTGTGAATACAAAACACTAAACTGACTTTGTTATCTGTCACATGTAATTTCAAGAATCCAGAGGGTTATTTAAATTATTGTGGAGAGCTAACATCTTGATTAGTTATCATCTTCTGCTGTGTCGCAG